AGCCTGCTTCTCCCTCTCCCACTCCCCCTACTTGTGTTCCATCTCTCTGTCAAATAAATAAATAAAATCTTAAAAAATAAATAAAATAAAATAAAATTTCAGTGACCAAACTTGCAAATGTTTTAAAAGATATCCCCTTACATGCAAAAAACCATAATTTTCATGTAATATTCACACACTTTTGTATGAATACCCATGTTTCCAGTGGTGCTTTTTTATTCTTATCTTCAGCCCTTACTTAGGTAATCAGGTGGTTCTGCGCTCCCCAAATCCTAGATTGGGGCTAATGATGCACATTTCTTCTGTACTGCACACAAACTTACTAGTTTGGTAGTAAGTAGAAGGATGTTAGGAGAAACTTAACCAATGCTGGCCTCATTCCAGAACACCCTGGTTTACAGAAAGGATGGACATGAGAGCACGCATTAGACCTCGTATGCATCATCTGGCCCGGAATGAGACTCCATGCAGTGCTCTGGAGGCTGAAAAGGGGACATGAGGTAGGCAAGTCTGGAAGGCAAACCATGCTCACTGGCAGAGTGAAGGCTCCCACAGCAGAGCAGGGGCGCCAAGCCAGGACTCTAAATAGGGTAGCTGGCATAAGACAGAGAGGCTCAGAAAGAGGGGGGGCGACCTGCTGCCAGGCGAGAGGAGTCCGTGCTTAGAAAGGGATTATTTTAATGAATGGGGAGGTCTACAAAGTGGGAAAGAGATCCCAGAAAGGACAGAGTGCGAGGAAAGAGTCCAAAGGGCCAGTGTCCCAGGCAGTAGCCTCAGGCATTAAAGGCTCCAGGACAACATCGATTCATTTATGTTAGATGGAAAGTGCTGGCAGAACACATAATGGTACAAAACTAAGGCTACAGCTGTCAGTTTTGCAAACTATGTATGTCTTTCGAAGCTGGATGCACTGTGATTTTAACATGTGATTTAAAAAAAAATTATTTATAATTTCTATACCCAATGTGCGGCTTGAACTCATAAACCCGAGATCAAGAGTCATATGCTCCACCGACTGAGCCAGCCAGGTGCCCCTTAACACGTGATTTTTTTTTTTTTAAAGATTTTATTTATTTATTTGAGAGAGAGAGAGAGACAGAGAGCGTGAGCAGGGGGAGGGCAGAGGGAGAGGTAGAAGCAGGCTCCCTGCTGAGCAGGGAGCCTGACGCGGGACTTGATCCCAGGACTCCAGGATCACGACTGGAGCCGAAGGCAGACGCTTAACGACTGAGCCACCGAGAAGCCGCTGGCTCCCATATATTTGGTAAATAAATGACTTGAGCCTGGTGGAAGAAGAGGAGAAAATAGTATCAAGCAGTTGGAACGACATATGGAAGAAATGCAAGAGATGAGAAATGCTGAGTGGTTGGAGGAGACAGAAGAGACAGATGAGAGGCCTCCAGGTCCGAAGAGTCATTATTACAATTTCAATTTAAGGTAACATGTAAAGTGACTTCTTTAGAGCCAAACATTGAAGGGCAAGTTTCTCCTTTATTTTCCACCTCCCATCTGCTTCTGGTTGACTTTGCGGGGGAAACCCAGAATGAGACAGATGTTTGCTCATCACATAAGGGGGAACCCCAGCTGTCTCCCATGCCCTCACTTTAAACTCACAGTATTTTTGTTTTTGTGTTAAAAATTGTATTGTATACAGAACATAAAATTTACCATTTTACCCATTTTTTTCAGTGTACGATCTGGTGACATTAATTTTACTCACATTGTTGTGTCCCCATCACCACCATCCATTTACAGAACTTTTTCATCTTTCCAAACTGAAATGCTATACCCATTAAACACCAACTCCCCAGCCCCCCGGCCCCTGGCCCCTGATACCCACTCTTCTACTTTGTCTATGAATTTGGCTATTTCCAGTCCCTCATGCAAGCGGAATTATACATTTGTCCTTCTTTTTTTTTTTTTTTTAAGATTTTATTTATTTATTCATGAGAGACAGAGAGAGAGAT